TAGAACTCCCTTACCGAGAAGTCCCTGGCTCACGCACTGACACAAATCCTACCGGTACCCTGTCAAATCAGAGAACAGTCCGGATTCAAGCTCACAACCTGCCCATCCCCCTAATCTCAGTAATCTGAGTATCCAAGTTCAAACGCAGGGAAAAAACAGAGGCACTCAAATCCTTCCACTATCCTATTCGACCAAACTGCTCAGGCGATCTTTGCAAGATAAAACCATCAGAGCACCACTCCTGTCCTATTATAGCCGGTCAGACAGTTGTAATCAACTCACAGGTCCATGGCCAAGGTTCATCCCTACCATGGGCAAACCCTTTCAAGACTTGGTCAAAGAATTTTGCCGCGAAATCCTTCATGCGCATTTCTGTTTTCAAAGTAACCACTCTTCGTGGGATTTCAGAGCGGACCGTTGTGTTCCTGTCAATACGATGCAAATAACTGTTTATCACAACACTTTTCTGGCTTTTACTCCCCCATCAGCTAAATGACTGTCCGTTCTGAAATTCAAGTGACTCCAATTTCCATATGGTAGCCTCGTTCTTCAACAACTGTACGCACTCAACATATGGATATTGATCGTTTACTCGGACCTCACATCCCAGAAAATCCCACACGTTTCCCCCGTTATCTGTCCGTTTTAAAGTCAGATTAGAGGGATGCGTGTGCTCAAAAGCATCCAAGATCTCCTTTCGCATCGTACTTCCATTTCCAAACACAAGCACGCCCACGTCATCAATCAGCCGAATCCCGTAGACATTCCTACGTCTTTCTCCCAAATGCTGCAAGAAATCGAACTCAGCTTTTGCACACATGATACAGGCAAGAGGTGGTCTCGTGCTTTTTCCCATTGGGATACCCACCTCTTGTTTTACCAGAATGTTCAGAGCCGTCGTGTACGTATGTGAGAGTTCGAATTCAACGAAACGGAAGATGTCGTCAAATTCCAATTTCCTCCAGTGGTCAGATCCCGTTGTCTTGCCGAAGGTTGCTCCACGTCCTCGGGTATTAACTCGGACAAAACTCCTCCCCTTTCCCTCATGATACTCTATCAACCATTTGACTGCTTGCACAATCTCCCCGTGGGGCAACAGACTGAACATATCCTTAACATCGTATGATCTTAGACTCGACCATCTCCGGGGCCGTTCTACAAATGCGACGGTTCTCGTCCTCAATCTTCTTTGTCAATTGTGAAACATCCTTCAGATTAAAGTGCCAATCAGCAGGGATTGTGCAAAGTAGGTGGTTAAGTGTTTTCGCCACTGCCTTACTCGTTTTTGCAGTGGGTTCTTGGAAGGATGGACAAATCGGTCGAAACCGATTTGGATCCTTGTGCTTAGGCACAGCATAAGCATGTCCAAAAGTGCCCTTCTTATCCCATCTTGCAAAATCTTCCACTTTACTGATGCTCAGATCCTTCTTCATCTCCAATAGGACATCATTCGCGTGGCTGTCGACAACAGAATAACCCTTACTTCTAATGAACAGGTTCATCATTCCCTCGTAATAAATTCGCGGGCATATGACCATTGTCACACCAGAATTCCGATCCAATTGGGTTAGCAACAAACCTTCCAATTTCTTCCCCCATTCGTGAACCACCTCCTGCCCCGGACATTTACTCGGTTCCGGTCGATCCTGTAAGCATGCAGTGAGCTCACTCATAGAGCAACTCACCTTCTGGCTCTTACCATTCGGCCAACTTGCGAAAGCCACCTTCAATCTCATATAGCCGAAACTGCACGTGACCTCTTACCCGAGGGTAAGGTAAGCCTACACAGGTGCAGGCAGATTGTCCAAATGATACGGATCTTTGATCGTGCTCGTTTCTTAACACAAGGCAGAAGGCACAAACCCCCTAGCTTGTCATTTACTAGTTTCCGAACTTCAGCCAACCTTAAAGAGGTCGTCAAACAGCAAGCGCACAATGAGGTGTGCTGACAAATTAAAACCAAATCCATCACGTATACAACGAGAAATCAGGCGCCTCAAATACGTTCTTGTAGACTTACACTCAAAATCTTTAACAGATGAGAATAATCCAGCCAGAGAGTGTAAGTCCCATTTTTTAAGAGACTCGTATCTCTTTGGATTTTAACAAGGACACTAAGAAGGGCTTATTAATACCTGTCCTTGGTTTCCAACGTCTTAAGTACGTAATCTTCAGAGTGCATCCCAACTCATAGTTGGCCTTAAAACCTTTGAAAACGCCAGGCTTCCCGTTGACCACTACTGATGAAGATCCGAAAACTTTTCGCAGTCCACGCCATCGATCACTCCAACAATACCCCCACTGAACTCAATACTGAAATCCCGACAACCTCTAGCATCATGCCGCTTCAACAAATCAAACACCTGTACTGTCCAAGTGCTTTCATTCGCTAGTCTACAACGTATGGGTCGAAAGCTCCGTGGTTCCGTGACTATTGGTAACCCATCCATTCGTGCTCTTTCCTTCTTACCCTTCCTCCTGTTCCTCGTCCTTGTCCTAACCCCACACCCGACAGTATTCAGATGTGGACACCATCTCCTAATATACAGCGTTTCAGTAGTTAGGAGGTCTGCTTCCTCACACACATCTATCGGGATTAGTACATACGTTTCGATCCCAAATCTCAGCCACCACCGATACAGGTGCATTGACTTCCCTTTCCTTTTCCAGACAGACATGTGTTCCTTCCATCGGGTGTCAGGTTCCCTGGCGGTCTTTCCAATATACTACGATCTACATTTGGTTGACGTGACGACATAAACGCAGCAAGGGTGTGTCAGAAAATCAAGTTCGAAACGAGAAAACAGCGCGAGCCAAGCATCGATACATTTGCATAGCCATCGGCAAAAACCTCGAAGGGCAAAATACAGTACAAGCAATCGGAAAACATACTCTACATCAAGGTCAGTACAGTCATGCGAGCGACGAAAGGCAGTCAGCACCTCACAGATACCCAACCATTGTTCATCGGCAAGCCCTCGTCACTGAGAACCGTCATCCGAGCTCTCGTGGCTCACCTTGCCGTCATGATCATCTTCCAATTCCGGTGGGTCAGTACCTAATAGCCCCGATCTGAACCTTGCTCGTGCCCTTGCATCGGCAAGATCGAAGATGACTTGCACCTTCGTGGTATACGTAACCCCTTCAAGACGACAAAATTCCTTCAGCTGGTCGCAATCAGCAGTAGCCAGCGTTCGCCGTGTTTGATCCAAAAACATTAACCGCTCCATCGCTAGGTTGCGGACAGGCGGCTTGATCGCGGTTATGGCCTTGGCAGGTGTAGCACGCACCAGTCTTCGATTAGTCCGTGTACGTGTCCGCTGTGGACGCTCGGAGAAACGCTGATGTCAGATCCCTAATCTCTGGTTAGTCTTCTTTGCAGGTGTGGCAATTGGCGGACTGTCTCCCACCGCAGTATTTTCGCCCCGCTTTCTTTTTTCTGCGATGGCCAGATTCTCCGTAGTGGTTGTGATGGCCTCGACCTCGTTTGGCTCGTTTGTCGTTCTCGAAGAGGAAGGTAACTCTATTTTCTCCTTCCCTTTCTCGACAACTTTTCGAACTTCATTTTTTATGTCCTCATGGATCTTGCTCAGTCGTACCGCCAGCTGCATTTCAACCGCTTTGGTCATTGCCAATTGCTCCTCCTCACGTTTCCTTTGCTTCTCTAACTTCCTCATGCAACGAGCCTCCTCCGCCAGACGCTCCTCCTCCTCCCGTTGACGTGATTCCATCTCCCGTTTCTTAATCTCCTCCTTAGCCAGTCTTTTCCTTTCCCTTCTCCTTACACCTCACCTTCTCGAGGTCAATGAATTCCTTTAGGCTTGCGACACTCTCGCCCAGTTCCTCCAATTTCGAAGTAGTCTTCGAGTCTGCCGACGGTGAGCGGTATACAGTTGCTCCATAATTTCTTCTTGGCGATGTCGAGCGGCCACGTCTCTCGAACTCTGGAGGGCAGACATAGCCATCCTGCTCCGCTTGACTCCTGGTACCAGCATCGGCCAAAAATCTCCAACAGTCGCTTCTGTAGTGACCAGGTACCTTACAGCCAAAGCAAACCAGAGGCAGTCTCCGTACGGGCTCGGAGAACTCCGGTCGCCGCTCACGTGCCTCACGCTCATGCGTCCGATGGCGGTCGCTATTATCTCGACCGCGTCTTCCTTCATCGTTGTACCGATCACGTCGGTCACCCCAATCTCGCGGGCGATCCCCGCCACCCATACCAACCCGCTACTTCAACGGGTGGTAACACTGCCTCCAAAATCGTTACCAGCCAACACTTCAACTCCGGTCTTCAAAATCACCAGCATCACACCACTTGGTCAGACGAACGAAAGCTATATATCCTCTTGATAGTATCCAGTCACTGATGGTTAAAACGTGCTCACTCACTCCCAGCAAAGATCCTGGGCAGGTTCACACGCACTATAGCAGGTATTATGAGATAAGGCTTCATCGAAGATTACACTTATTTTTCTTCTTTTTCTTTGTCGGAAACTTAACCGTTGCTAGGGGTCTATGGTGCACCAACCCTTCCCAAGGCTTCGGTGAAGATTACACTTCTTTTTCTTTTTTTTCTGCTTCGGAAACTCATCTGTCCTTAGGGGCATGCGACCCAAAAACCCTCCCCAAGCCTCCACTGAAAGTCACACTTTTTTTTCATCTCTTTCTTCTTCAGAAACTTAGCCGTGTTTAGAGGTCTGTCACCGAGCAAACCTTCCAAAGGCTTCGCTGAAGATTACACATTTTTTTTTTGTTTTTCTTCTTTGGGAACTTATGCATTTTTAGAGGTTTGCCACCCACCAACCCTCCCCAAGGCCTCGGCGGAGATTACACTACTTTTTTTTTTTTTCTTAGGGGTTTGCGACCCCGGAAACCTCCTCAAGGTTTCGCCGAAGATCGCTATTTTTTTTCTTTTTTTTCTTCTTCGGAAACTCATATGTTCTTAGGGGCATGTGACCCAACAACCCTCCCAAAGGCTTCACCGAAGGCTAATTTTTTTTTCTCTTCTCTTCCTTCTTCGGGAACTTAGACGTTTTTAGGGCTCTGCCACCCAGTAACCCCCCCCAAGGCTTCGCTGAAGATTACACTTTTTTTTTTTCTTCTTTTTAGGGAACTTAGCCGTTCTTAGGGTCTGCCACCCACGAACCCTCCCCTAGGTTTCACAAAAGATTACAGTTTTTTTTCTTATTTTCCTTCTTTGGGAACTTAGCTGTTTTTAGGGGACTGTCACCCACGAACCCTCCCCAAGACTTTGTCGAAGATTAAACTTTTGTCTCTTCTTTTTCTTCTTCGTGAACTTCGCTGTTTTGAGAGGTCTGCCACCCACCAACTCTCCCCAAGGCTTTACCGAAGATCAGACTTCGTTTCCTTCTTTTTCTTCTTCAGAAATTTAGCTGTTTTCAGGGGTTTGCCATCCACTAACCCTCCCCAAGGCTTTGCTGAAGACTAAACTTTTTTTTTTTCTTTTTCTTCTTCAACAACTTAATCGTTTTATGGATTCTGCCACCCACCAACCCTCCCCAAGGCTTCGCCAAAGATTACACTTCTTTTTCTTCTTTTTTTTCTTATACAACTTAGTCGTTTTTAGGGGTCTGCCACCTAGCAAACCTTCCCAAGGTTTCATTGAAGATTCCACTTTTTTTTCTTTTTTTCTTCATTGGGAACTTAACCGTTCTTAGGGGCCTGCGACCCACCAACCCTCACTAAGGCTTCGCCGAAGATTACACTTTTTTTTTTTCTTATTTTCTTCTTCGGAAACTCAACTGTTCTTAGGGGCATGCGACCCACAAACCCTCCCCAAGGCTTCCCCGAAGATCACATTTTTTTTTCATTCTCTTTTTTCTTCGGAAACTTAGCCATTTTTAGGGGTCTGTCAGCCAACAAATTTCTCAAAGGCTTCGTCGAAGATTACACATTTTTTTTTCTTCTCTTTTTCAGGAACTTGTGTGTTTTTAGAGGTCTGCCACCCACCAACCCTCCCCTAGGCTTCGCCGGAGATTACACTTCTTTTTCTTCTTCTTTTTCTTCGGAAACTTAGCCGTTTTTTTAGTCTGCGACCCCGCAAACCTCCTCAAGGCTTCGCCAAAAATCACACTTTTTT